GTTAGTTGCAGCCCTATGTCACTTACAGCAAAAGTTGGGCTTTCTACCGCGGTGACTCACTCACACGTCCCTCTCCTACAGTAGTTTGGTTAGGGTTAGGAAATTAAAACCTTAGGATTCCTAATGTTTTAATCCACCTTGTAACCAGTGTGTTTTTTTCTGTTTGGGAGACAAACCCCTCCTCCGTAACCAAGTTATACAGAAGCCCGGAAAGGTCAAAATTCCTCAAACGTATTTTTTCCTACTGGCTGATAAAAATGTATTGAATAGAACAGAATAGATTTATTAATCCCACAGTGGGGACATTCACTCATTACAGCAGCACGTACACAAAGAATAATAACAAGATTACAGTAAAACTGATTTCAGCCATGTTTGCTTTCATAACTTCAAGAATTTCATGCTGATGACCCACATGAACATAATCCTCTGTTTAGTGGATGCAAATACATCAAGAAGTTAGCTTAACATGATAGATTACTTTTGCTTGGAAAAATACAATAACTGGTTACCGTATTTTCCGGACTATAAGCTGCTACTTTTTCACCACGCTTTGAACCATGCGGCTTATAATGAGGGGCGGCTTTACTGAAGATTTTCCTTCACCTGCCAAGGGGCGCTTTAGCAGAAAGTGAAACAGGTGGAAGTCAAAAGTGGAAATCAAAGAAAGTGCTCATTTTAATTTAGCACATGCAAGCAGCCGGCACGATGAAGAATTTTTTTCAAATCCATACCCCCTCATCATGGAAACTACACGTATGAGTTCATGTGATGCCACATTTAAGTTGAAGGCAATCGATCTGGCAGTAAAGGAGGGAAACAGTGCTGCCGCACGTAAGCTTGGCATGAATGACTTCAGTGGTTTCAGTGCGCAGGAGGAGGATGAATAAACTAATCAATAACTTTTCTGTTTTGTTTGATACTGATCAGTTCAGTTATGTTCAATTAAACTACATTTTCAATTCAGTAGATATCCGGTAGATATATGCGGCTTTTAGCCTGGTGCGCCTTATATAAGTACAGTTCCATGTTTTTTTTTTTAAACTTAGTAGGTGCGGCTTATATTGAGGTGCGCTCCATAGTCTGGAAATTACGGTATATTATAAACAACCCGAGATGGAATTTAAATATTTTACATTGATTATGACTAAAAGTTCCTGGGAGACATTTGTGACATGTAGCTGTAACTCTTTACTGCTGATAGATAGATGATGAGTCCTTGTAAACCACCCCCTGAAGGCGAACAGTCGGCACCCAAAGCACCACATACACCCAAAAACATACAATCTTATGTCTCAAAATCCACGTCTCTTTTAGGGCCCAACCGATATGCTTTTTTTTGGGACAGATACCGATATAAAACTTTTAACAAAAGCCGATAGCCGATATAATGGCCGATAAATCTCCCTCACAAAATAAATAAATAAATAAGAATAAAAATTTTCTTAAGCTTAAACCCTTCATTCTCTGCCTTTTTATGCAAACTTATTTCTCTATTACACACCAAAGAGCTGTCTCAATAACTCACTAGGGTTTCCAAGTAATGCAAATAAGATTTATTTAGCAGATCTCAAAAACAACAGAACACACAAACTCAGTCACAGCATAAATCTTAACATTCAAGTTTTTTCTTGTAAACTGTGGTTTCCACAAATACATTTCAACTTAAAGGAATATTCCACCACTCAGCAAAATTGTGTCTTATTAAGATTCCCCAGAATCAGACAAGTCAGAAAAAGCATTTTATAACCAGCCCAAAATGATCTGGCAGCAGTTGGTTTTCTTAGTTTAGCATCAAACAATGCAAGTTAATTCTCATACATTGTAGTGTTTTTTTTTTATGTAGGTGAATGCAAGCTTTCCCTTCCATTGCTTTATGCTAAAACAACTGGTTACAAAATGTTTTTTTCTGACTTAGCTAACTCTGGGGAATCTAACAACACACACACAAGTTTAGGGACAGAAGATCCCAATAAGAATATTAAAATAATAAAAATGCAACAATAAATAAAACGTAATACTTGTTCTTTGCAACAAAGTAAAACTCTGTGGAAGTGAACTTGGTGAACTTATTCACAAAACTTATTAATAAAGCTGGCACCATCTGCTGGATAGGTAGCGCAATATCGGCCATATCGGCCGTCTTTTTGGCCAATAGTAGGGCTGGGGGTAAACGATTATTTTTAAAACGATTATTCTGACGATTATTTTATCGAATAGTCGACTATTCTAATGACTATTTATACAATTAATCTAATGATTATTTTTCTACTGCACAGTTAATAAAAACCAAAAAATCTCTAATAAATTCCTCCAAAAAATTGATTAATTGTTACTGTAAGAGAATAAACACTACAGGCCTCCCATTTCGTATAACACTGCTTTATTGTGTTGGTTGGTTATGTTCTGGTGACATGAAGAACTTGGGAGTGCAGGCTGCTGCCTGAGAGGTGGTTGGAGACAGAGTGTCTCCATGCTGCTTCGTCTTGGTCACTTATGTGTGTGAGGCGAGTGGTGTTACGATCCTTCCTGGGGAGTTTGGCTCGTGTGCAAAAAGGAAGGGACAATAATGTGGGATTTAAAATTTAAAATGATGATCGGGTTTATTTACAACTACAAAAAACCAAATCTTTCCATCCACAGGTTGGGAGTAATAAAACTAATTCTGCCTGTGGGGAATTAAAACAAAAGTACAGATAACTATGGATGTCCCGCTGGGCAAATATTACAGGGTTTTGGACCAAAATAAGAATCTCCAAAGTTCCAAACTCTAAACTGGGTGGTTAAACCAACCTCAAGGTGATATTTTAAACTAAACCGAAAACTCACAACACTCTAAATGTAATAAAAGGGAGATTTTATTACATTTAGACATTTATTAATTTGTACCACAAATTATTATTTTTTATATGTGTTCAACATGTTTAAATATCGCTTGTTTAATTAACCAACATTTCTAGTGTACAGCGCCTTGTTTGGTTGTTATGCCTTGTGAATGCGCTTTATAAATAAAATTGGATTGGATTGGATTGAAAAAAGATGAACTCTAAACCAAAACGTAACAGCTTATCCAAACGCAAGAAGCTGTTAGCGAAAATGCTAACAGTAGCTTTACCAACGTTAAGTTCAAGTTGCCAAGTTTAAATAAACCAAAAACACCCAGCAGCAAACAGACCAGCTCGGAGGAGAGACTGCTTACACCAAAACAGCTCTCCTAATGTCTGAAAGAAGCTCCTTTATGAAGGGAGAAACGCTCCCGGTGATTTTCTGCATCTGCTATAGAGACGGAGCAGCGCATTTGACCCCGGAAGTTGTTGTCCGTTGCCGGGAAACGAAGGCGGGCAAAACAGGAGAGGAACCTAGTAGCGGACGGACGTTGTTCCGGGTCTTCGGTATTTGGCTGAGATGTTAGTGAAGGCGGAGAAGAGGGCGAACTAGAGGAAAAACAGGCAGATTCCACCTCTATTTACAAACTCCTGGGGATGCAACAAGTGGGCGCGGTGCGTCGACTACTGGATCTGACGTCGACGAATTTTTAGAATTGAGCCGTCGACGTCATCGAAGCTTCGCTACAGCCCTACTAGCCACACTCCTGAACAGACATTCCCCATCACGCGCTCTGCGCTCCACTGACCAAGGCCTGCTCGCTGTCCCTCGTTCTAGGTGTTGTACTCGCGAGGACCGGGCTTTCTCTGTCCTAACACCGTCACTCTGGAACCAGTTGCCACCCTCAGTTAGGCTGTCCCCATCTCTGCCAGTCTTTTAAGAGTCGCCTAAAACCCCACCTCCTCCGCTTGGCATTCCCTGAACGTGTTTGAATTTGGCCCTCTTTTATGTTGATTTTATTTTCCTGTTTTCATTGGTCTCTTTATCCCTTGTTTTACCCATTTGTCTTCTACTTTAATGTTTTACCTTTTTTGCACTATTTGAATTGCTTTTATTTTTGATTTATTCATCATGTTTCACATTTCTCATGTACCACGTTCAGCGCCTTGGGCTTCCCGACAGGCGCTTTATAAATAAAGCTTTGATTGATTGATGTGGCATTTCAAAATAAAGTGCAATCAAGTCATTAATGACTATTTTTACTAATTCCATGGTAATTTCTCAAAAACTGTTTCATTCCGCGACATCAATCCACTTCAGTCTTAAGAGTACACATCGAGCACTACATCCTCCCCAAATTTCATGAAGATCTGATGTGGCATTTCAAAATAAAGTGCAATGAAACTAGTCAGTAATGACAATTTTCACTATATTCCACGGCTGATTTCTCAAAAAGTTTGATTCCGCAACATCATTCCACATCTGCCTTAAAGTACACATAGACGACTACATCCTCACAAAATTTCTGATGTATCATCAGGTCTTAATAAAATTTGCAGAGGATGTAGTCCTCGATGTGTGCTCTAAGACTGAGGTGGAATGATGTTGTGGAATCAGACAGTTTTTGAGAAATTAACCATTGAATTTAGTGAAAATTGTCAATATTTTCACTTTCTTTTGAAATGCCACATCAGATCAGGATGAAAGGGAGGGGAGGGATAAGAATTGCAAAGTAGACAAATGTGTTTATTCTTTTAATTTAAAGTATTTTTAAATAGATAAAATCATAAAAACACAGTTTTTATCTTGCACACAATTTTACACAAACACATTTATTTCGTGTTCATTATTTTAATTACAAGTATTTTTAAATAGATAAAATCATAAAACGCAGTTTTATTGTAGACACAATTTTACACAAATTTTGAAATGTGTTTTGAGCGCTTTTATTTTGAAAGGCACTCTACAACGAGGACACCGTAAATTCTCTTGTAGTTGCGCCCGAAAAAATCGAAAGACGGCTGGAAGGCAGTCAGAAAACTGAGGTCCGCTTGCTGGAGATGATCTACACAAGAAAGCGGCTTTCTACACACCTTAAATAATAACAGGACAGGGCCCCGGGCTAAATTATTGTCCCAGTCCGTCTCTGCACGAGTCCCGCTGGTGTTTCTTACCTGCTCTGTGTGTGCTCTGTGGTTCCCAGCTCATATCCGACAGTCTACGCCGACTACCGTGACCTTCCTCGAACTGGGCCAGGGCTTCTTCAACCTTCGTGATGAGTTTTCTAGCAGTAGCTACTTGCTTGTTGACAAACTCCATCAGAGACTCTCCTGAATACATGTTTAAGCCGTATATATGTCGATGGTTTAACCCAGAGACTCAACATTCACCTCATACAACAAGCTATGTTTGCTATCAGTCCTTTACTTCTTCGTCTTGCTTTTGGTTGGCGCTCGGAGAACAATGAACGTGTTACCGCCACCTGTTGGCCAGGAAAAGAATGACACCAAGTGAGAACTTGAAGTACCAATCCAAAATATAAACTTTCTTTCATTGTAAAAACGTAAGTGAGGTACTGTATCTCACAGAAACAAACACTGGAATTTTTCATACGGATTTACATGAAACTAACAATATTGATAAATCACTGGATGTTTAGTTGAAATAATTTTTTTGTAATTACTTTTACAATCATGAGATTCGGAGTCAGATTTATATTAATAAAAATGGCAAAACTGAATTGCCATTATATATATATATATATATATATATATATATATATATACAGACAGACAGATAGATGATAGATAGATAGATAGATAGATAGATAGATAGATAGATAGATAGATAGATAGATAGATAGATAGATAGATAGATAGATAGATAGATAGATAGATAGATAGATAGATAGATGATAGATAGATAGATAGATGTTAGTGATGCATAAATATGAAATATTTGGGCCAATACCGGTATCAAAATCACTGTTATGGCCGATATCCGATATTTGCCCATATCGATATACTGACATTAATGCTTTCAAAATCAGCAGAATAAAAATTATTAAAGCTGAATTTACATTATTGTGCACACACACACCACACACGTTTACGCTTTTGAGATGATTACTCTGTCACATGACTAAACAAATACACATCACCCTGCTCACCCTCTGAAACACTCAAACAAATGGAGAGGAGATGGAAAAAATATCAGCTGGTAATATCCGCTAAATTTTGTTTATCTGACCAATACCAATATTTTAAAAAATGACTAACATCTGCCTTTATTGTCCATCCCTAATATATATATATATATATATATATATATATATATATATATATATTCTGGGTAGTGACGTCACATGGTTGGACTGCTTATCTGGTTCACACGGCTGACAGTGCAGTGGGCATCAGTTCAGCCTTTCCAATTTGAACCTGACTCCAGTTTCACACTGCAAGCATCAGCGGAATGGCAGCAAAGCGGCACCGCTTCAAATAGAATCCAATTATAGTCTATGGAGTGTTTCAAACAAGCCGCGACGCGGCAATTTCCAGACGCATCCCAGAAGCGGCATGCTGCGTCGCAAAAGATAGGATCGAGTTCTATTTTTTCCGTGAGCTGCTTCTGGGACATGCCATTTCCCGCAGTTCACATAGTGCGAGACAGGATACTACACGGTTTCAGTGTAAAATTCCCAGTTATTTTCAAAATCAAATGCAACGTTGCGATGTTATTTACAACTTATGTCAGTACGTGTGACCGAACGACTCTGTTTACCACTGGTTTCTTTTGAGAAGTGCAACGGTGTGATTCCTCGCGGGGATTGTGATCTCTCGATGAGGAAGGTGTCGGAAGTCTCGAGGGGTTTTAGAATCTCGCGGGTACAGCGAGGCGCAGCGAGGAAGCCGTGCCACAGCCAAGACCCTCCAGGTGTGAAAAGGACCGCTTTGAAGTTCGCGAGTGAGCCGCTCCGCTGCTGTTTTGTTCCGCTGATGCTTGTAGTGTGCAACCGGGGTGAGAGGCAAGTGAGTAGCGAAGAAAATTCCCAGTCATTGGAGTGAGTGGGGTTCAGTCACTGGTGTACATGCAGCAAATGCATGCCCATGCTGATGGAGATGGAGAACACTTGTTACAAAGAGCTCAATTTATAGCAGCAGCTATCCACGGTATCGGTCTTTAGCAGACATGTAACCTGCATGTCAACCACACCCCCTTAGTGACATTTTAGGTGTATGACTCGTGTTCCTAGGGGAAGCCGCAGCTGAAGTTGAAGCAGAACAAGAGTATAAAGGATGGATAAAAAGAACATGGATGAATGCATTCCTTACAGGAATAAAATTGTGAAGGAGGATAGGGATAGGTATGTTCAGAAAAATCAACAACATAGATCCCTACGACCTCAAACGGAGTTCAGACGTTTCATTACTGCCGAAAATATAAGCGGAGCACCACTTCAACATATTTATAATAAAGTAAAAGTAAAAAGCAGCCGTCCAAAAACATTTGTCCACTAACTCAGGCGCTGCACTAGGTTTCAGTTTTGGATGGGCCTTAATTAAACAAGTTACAGTCAATATATGTTACAAGCAGGTACAGAAACAATACCTACATTCAGAAGTCGCACTAGTCGCTTTGTTTTTATTTTGACCAACAGGGTTAAAAAAACTGTCATGATAATTTCCTCTTGTCATTTTCATTTCTTATACACATACATAAATAAAATATCACTGTTTAATTTTCATTTGTCGTTAATATTTAGTCTAAACAAGCTGACCAGCGTGTCCAGCATCAAGTCACAATTAAATTATTTCTCTTAAAGTAGAAACATTTTACCTCCCGCGTTCTGGTTCTTCTGTTGGCCTGTGACCCACCGATGCTCTCCGAGCTGCTCACCATGGCTCCTCAGTGGGCTGATAGCGAGCTGTGCTGATCATGATGTCCAAGTCTGAGATAATGCTCACATATTCTGATGGGAGTCTTTTCTTGATTAATTGTGTTACCTCTGCATTGTTCTCTGTGCGTGACCTAAAATGTCTGCACACCCACATGTGGCGGGTACTTCAAGTCTGTCAGAATGACCAACAGCCTTGAAATGTCTCTTTATAATTATTTGAGAAATGAAAATGTGGGAATTTGAGTTGCAGGCTGACAGTTATACACAACGCCACCTAGGGAGTTGCACCCCAGGATATAAAGACACACAGGTCCACATCAGGCAGGAGATGTGGCCTGACTAATAACATGGTTTTATTCATCAAATCAAAATAAAAGGGGAAAAAAAAAACAGAAAAAGTCCAGGGTCCAACTCGGCCAGCAAAAATACAAACCAAACCAAACTAAAACCACCCCAGTCACAGTGCCATGCACCCAGGAGGTGCACAGTGAAGGAACACACACACACACACACACACACACACACGTGGAAAACTCCCGCCACTGAAGCCGAAGAGACCAGAGAGATGCTTCGCTCCAGCAGCAACTCCCACTCTCATGTAACTAGCCGGGATGTCCAGACAGACCTTGGAATATCTCTGTCAGTGCTTCTCCTCAGGCACGTCAACACACCACACTCCCCACCGCCGATCAGTGACGTAGGAGGCAGATTTAATGCGACATGACCGTTAGACTGCAGTTGCTTTCAAATTCACAAGATATGTGTTGGAATAAATACCACAAATGAAAGTGACCTGAGTCGGATTTGGAAAAAAAAATCAGATCTGTGCTGTTCAGCCTGTTCAGACTCAGGTAAAATCGAATTTGATGCACTTTTTCCTGCAGTGACAGCCTCAGACACAATGTGTGAAGCATTTTGATGCGCTGTAAAATTACCCAGTACCACTAGATGGTATCACAGCTAATGTGTTAGAGGCCTCAGTGTGAACACGTTCTCTGTTGTTTCCTGGATGCTAAACCAACAACAGCCTTCCCCATGTGAGTCAAGATGGGTGAGTCCATGAACTTTTGTTTATTATCATTATTATTTTGAGTTCATGAATGTTAAGTGACAGTGTGACATAGATCTGTCAGGTTTTTCACCTCCTAGAGTTTCACCGTCTATTTTCTATCAGAAGCTAATGCAGGAGATAGGTGTAGGAGACTATTTTCATTTTCAGCCTGCAAGAAAAACTCGAAGTGACTCATTATAATGCTTTAAAAAATGGTTTTCCAATTCTAATTACTGGACAACTCACTCTTCACCTTCTGAGCTACTGCTGTGAGACTGAATGTGAGACGATGATAAATAACAGAAAATATTTTTCTGAATAACGTGTCCCCCTCACTTCTGAGATGATGGTTACGCCCCTGGTGTCAGTGGTTTCTCTGCTGCCCACTGTCTTTTATGGGTTCAGAGTCACACAGCCATTGATTTAGCAGATTGTTGACCATCATGTCCTCATGCTTTCATTAAAAAGAAAACGTCAAAAGACCTTAACTGCTCCTTTAATTTAGCCTTTTAGTGGCAACATTTCTTAAGTGTTTGAAGTTTAAACTTTTTTTTCCTAGAAAAAGGAACTAAACATCTCGTTTCCTGTTAGAAAGTCCTCCCACACGATCTCTGTGAGTCCAGCACAGGTCATATTTGACTGCGGGTGGAAGAAGATGTTGGTGTTGTTGGTCTTTCTTCTGTTAGACCAAGCACGGGTACGGAGAAGATGGAGTTAAACACCTTTTGAGTTGGTAGAATGAGGAGACAAATGATCAGAGGAGTCCAGACACTGTTTTCACCGCTCATGAGGGGGAGAGCCTTTGCAACATACAGCAGGTCCCACGATCTGCTCCTGTCAGTTGCTTCGGACAGACTCTCCCCGTTCTGCTGAAAACGGCTGATTTTTATTGAAGATTACAGGAATGTTACATACGTAGTTTGCCATACACACACGTAATTCTGCCATCTGCACCTGCAGACGCACGTCAGCTAATAGCCTTGTTAATGAAAGACCAAGTCATCCCAAGGACATGCAACCTTGAGATGACCAGGACACATCCTGCAACATCCTTTGCTAACAAAGACAGTTGTTCTTGTATTGAGGAAATGAAGGAAGGAGCACTTTCACTCCCTTATGCAGCTGTTCAGCTTGAGCAGAAAAGGCACAGAGAGGTTTTTGATATTATAACAAGATTCCATGAAAAGGCATATAATAATGTATTTATGATAATATATAAGGAGCATAAGTGAGAGATACATATTTGTTCATATAAAAGAGCTTATAATAATATATGAAAGAGCTTATATGAGAGATATATATTTTCAATCCCCCTTTTGAACTCTTTTAAGAGTTCAATAAAGATATAAGAAATCAAAACAATAACACCAAATTCCATCAAAAAGAATCCAATAAGCAAAGTTGTAAAATACCAATACAAACAATCAATCAGATTACATTTTCTCATATTTCCAGCAGTAAACTAATACAAAAAAACATGATCATATTTTTAACTGAACACATTACAACATGAATGGATCGCATGCTCACCGTATGAGGGCGAAAA